AGCGCGCCACTCAAAGCACACACATACAAGAACACAGTAGCTTCAGTGCTGTCGGGTGCTGGCATTCAACTGGGTTTGTCTAGCTTACTGAAATTGACTGTCAAAAGGAATAAAGAGCCGCACACCGATTACCAGTCTAATCACCATATGCAGAAAAATGGCTTTATCTTGTCTCCTCCCAAGCCACGCCCCTATCAACGCATTTCACCCTCTCCTGGGCTTCGTCATAGAAGTCTCTTTGATTAAGCCTGTGGGAGGATGAAATGCATCAAAGGGGTGTGGCTTGGGAAGAGACAAGATTAAGCCATTTTTTAACATAAGGTGATTGGCTGACAATCGGTGTGCGGTTCCTTATTCCTTTTCATAGTCTTTTCCAAGCGTGTTCAAATTCACTTACACAGCAACTCCCTGCCTCTGCTTGAAGTCTGTTCCAAGCATCTACTACTGTATATGTAATAATACTTTCTAAGCATTGATGATGTCATCACTGCAAAACACAGTGTGTACAGATGCTTTTGCTGCTAAGTAAGGAATGATCAATCACGGCTGCCAAGAACAACGGATATAATATAGAGCTAATGTGTTTAAAGTGAACCTTCATAAATGTATAAGTAAATTTGAAAAGCTTACTGTAATAGATTGTAAGCTCCAAGGAGCAGGGCCCTCCTTTCCCACTTGTATTGAACTGCATTGTTGCTGTATTGTCTCCTGTTCTATTGTAAAGCGCTGAGCAAACTGTTGGCGCTATATAAATCCTGTATTATAATAATAATAGCATTGTCGGTGTGTACAGTATTCTTACTTTCTTGTATTACCAGACCAAAAAAAATTAAGATTTGCTGTTTTTAGAGAACAGTTAGACATGTTAATTGTACCTAACCTACCCCAAAATGTACCTTTTTGCCTTAGAATTAGAGAAGTGCTGGATTGTGATTGTGCCTTGGCACACTTGTCCTGTAGACTCATATCTGTATATCTGCAGTAACGAGACCATCTAAGGCACTGTTGTCTTTGACAGCTAGTCTCAGCAGATTTTGAGTCCCATGTGGTGAAGTCACTACTGTGGTGCTCACCATTTTCTTTGCTGGTGAGGAAGCTGTACCAGAGAACCTGCAGTGTAAGGATATCCTGCTTTATCCATTCTGTGAATCTGTGCTTCCTTCACCTTTGCTGCTGTTGCTTCTTGATCAATACTTTACCAAGCAACAGAAATGCATTTTGTGATTGGACAAGGGGTGTGATCTCCTCTTGTCCAATCACAAAACATCTTATATTATTATTATTGTACAGGATTGATATAGCCCCAAGAGTTTATGCAGCGCTTTACAACATACAAGATGTTCATGAATGGAGGAGCTGCAGATTGAGCGGCCTGCTGTGATTGCTGTGCTCCAGCCCCGACGATCAGTTGCGGCAACTGAAGTTCAGTGCGTACATCAATGTTGTGGCGGGGGGGGGGGGAGTGCATGAATCCAACAGGTTTCAGGAACAAAGCAGTTGCCACCAATAGAATACACAATATTAGAGGTGCGTTATTGGTACCTATCTAATGTCCCAATATTATTTTTGCCCGAAGTTTAGGTTTACATATACCCACAAAAGTGACAAACCTCAGGTGATACACAGAGATTAATGCGGAACTACATTGTATCTGAGCGTCAAACCAAAAATGCCATTTCATTCATTTTTAATTATCCGTCCATCACCGCCTAGCATTTCTGGCAGTGGCCATCTTGAATAAGGACAGCTAAGTCATGTAGCATTTACTTCCTGGAATCCATCTGTCCTTAGCTCAGGCATGCAGGCAGGAGAGTGTGCTTAGCTGAGAAAACCCCTCCTGAAGACTCCTGGGAGATATGACATAATTTGCCTAGGCCTGGAAACCAGGAAGTTACTGAAGAAATGTAAATATAAGTTTAAAACAAGTAAATGTTATTCTTTCCTGTCTATTTACTAATGCTAGCAGCATAAGGATTAGAAATAGTCAATGTTGATTGACAGAGTGAAGATCTGCTTTAAGCAAATCCTACATAAATTGTACCTTTTTATCTGAAGCATTCTCTTCTCCACACCCTTCTAAAACAAACAGATCAAAAGCCATCTTTCAGCTCCAGCAGGGAGGGGGCAGGAATCTGGTGTCACACACTGCACAGCATAGAGAGGAGAGCTGAGTGTAATGTGAGACCTGAGTGGAGGGAAAGGATGCACCCCCATCTACACAGGGAAACATGCACAGTTGAGGCTGTCAATCACCTTCTGTGTTCTGGATGGGGGATGGGGCTGTCTCCTGTAATTCTGTGATATCGAGATAACCTGTCAGATGTGACTAATGCAGATGAGGAAAGCACAGGAAAGAGAGGGGAGACATAAATCACAATTGGTGCTTTGGATTGAAGCTAGTACACACTATAGAGGCTAATGCTTTGTTCATTTTTTATTTCAGAGGTTTACAACCAGTTTAATAGCTTTTCATTGAGTACATAATTGAACTAATAAGTGTTCCCTTTGATTCACTGGTTGCTAGTAACATCACTGCCTCGTGCCTTTGCCTTTGTGATGTCACGAGTTCCTAGTCAATTGGTTGGCCGCTTCTTCATAGTTCCTGACATGGCTTACAAAATGGCAGCCTTTGCCATGTGCAGACAATGGCCATACTTTAATGGAGTTCTTCTGACATTGGAAGAGATTAAAGTTGAGCCGGTATTCCCTGTCATTCATTTCATGTATGGTGCCAAGAGCCCAAACAGGATTAGAAATACCTGCTGTTTCCACTATTCGTACAATATTGAGGCCCCTGCGAGCAGCTGCACCACCCTCTGTTTCTTTAATTACAGCTGAATTTGGCTGATCTGGGGCCGCAAAGAGAGGTCGGGGTAGTTATTTTGTATCCCATCAGTGGGAGACACACATTCTGCCATTCACACGTAAAGACATATGGCATTCCTGCTCCTGGCCTTCCTTTCAATGGTTTCTAGGGGTGTGATAACAGCAAAAGCCAGTTCTGTTGAACAAATGATCTTCTAAAAGCTTGTTTTCTTTATTGAAAGGTGCATTGTTCACCTGGAGATGGGTTATAAACGATCTTTTTTCTTAATCTGTTCTGAATAAGTTAACAAGCAACTCTGAGTAACAAGGAACTTTTATGGCAAAACTGCACAGACTTATTCAGGAGATGAAAGTCATAAGGGAAGCCTGTGCTAATAAAACCTGGAGGCTGCCATTACTGGCTCTCTTCTGAAAATACCAGCGGCCTGGCTGTCTTTCAGGCACTGACTTAGCATTAGTATGCAGCAAGTAAAGTCAGAGCTCTTGGTCTGCATACTTATTCTGGGTTAGTAACGTATAAAACCCAAAAATGGTTTGTCTCATCTCTTGAACTGATACAATCTGTAAGAGAGTGTGTTCTTTTGAAAAACAGACTGGATGGATTACCAGGTGAAAATAGAAGAAAGAAAGCCTAAAAAAGAAATCTAATGCGGCTAACATATCTAAGAATTGGTAAGCTGATATATAATTGTTTTCTTTTGGGTTTATGCCTGGTTCACACCTATGCAGTTTGCGGTTGATGCATTTTACTTGTGCGTTTTTGCATCTTTATGCAAAAATGCAGTAGAAACACATTAAAAATGCAAGCACTGCATTACCATTGAAGATTATGGAATCAAAAACGCAACCTGCTGCGGGAAAAAAAAGTCCCTGTCCCTTAAAAAATGCACCAGTGGAAAATGCACAGATCTAAACATGGCCTATAGGAAACCATGTTCTATGGACTGTAGTGCGTTTCTGCAAAACTGAAAAGGGCCTAAAAAATGCATAGGTGTGTAGGCCTTATAACTGCTTTAACACTACCCTCTCTTCAAATTAACAATTCTACTGAACAAGGGTGTCTCTGTTACTCTTCCATCCAGAGTAGAGCCACCCCAATATAGGGCATGTATTACTGGCTGACAAATGATAAACAAGTATGCAGCGCTAAAAGTAGATAAAAATAAACTATGAACAGTGATAAATACAAATGCCAAATAGCATATAAGTGTCCACAAAAGGTGATATTGTGCCTGTTAGTCCACAACTGACAGTGTTGCAACCGTCAACGGACCGGGTGATGCATAATAACACTCGATGTTCTGTGATAAATAATTACAGGCGTGAAGTTTGTGGTACAATAATGCACTTACCAGAAGTACATACAATCTGAGCGTTGTATGTATATATAATCCGTAGTGGCAGGTCTGGTCATTGGTTGTAGCGACATCCAGTGCTGTGGCAGACTTACAGGGATGGTGTGATTCACACTTGGGGGTCACCTCAAATCCACCGGTAGGTCCAGCTTCGTCCAGACTCCTGATGATGCTCTGCAAGGTGCTCCACCTTGAAAGGCTCGCAAAATAACGAGCCAGGGGGCAAAGTGGCACCAATAGTGTAAAATTGCTTTATTATAAGTGAAGGATCCGAAATAAATTGTAATGCACTCACATGAAAAAACATAGTATGGCCATCAGGCCTTCCTCAAAGACTCATGCAGGTACTAGGGCGTCAAGTTGAAGGATTCCCCTTACATGTTTCGTGCAACCAGCACGTTTTCAAAGGGGCTTTGAAAACGTGCTGGTTGCAAAGAAAATGAAATTTAGAGATTTGGAGAAGGCTGAGCTCAATAGACAGGCCTTTATTGAGTCAAGAACACATAAATAACTTTTTTTTTTTTTTTTAATATAATCAGAGTTTAGTGTCACTTAAACTTGAACACTCCTCTGCATTTCTGCACCGTTTCTACCATAGAAGTTTTAAAGTGGAACTAAACCCTCCTGTCCTTTACAGCCAAGGAAACTGCCATCTAAAGCTGGTTACACGTGGATCACAATTCATCCAGTTCAGCAGGGACCATCTGAATTTTGATCTGTGTGTAGCTCTCTCTGACAGAAGCAGGTCATTAGAACGACTTGTGTCGAATGGTCCTGCTGGAAAACATTGGCTGCAAGCCACTGATCAAATCGACTGCAGTGCTGAATAGCAGGGGCGGACTGACCATTTGGAAACTCGGGCACTGCCCGAGAGCCTGGGGTCAGTAGTGGGCCCCATGAGATGCCCCTGGTACCTTTTTCATAGGCTTTTTTGAGTTTGGGCAAGGACACAGGGGCTCCGTGATCCTCTATTGCCCGGGGGCCCCATGAGTTGTCAGTCCGCCCCTGCTGAATAGTGTATTCTGACAATGGGGAGCCCCTGCTGTCAGGCAGGGGAGCAAGCCATGGGAGATCTCTGTATCCACCTCACTTGTGTGGATGCTGAAATCTGTTTTTTTTTTGTTCAGACTGCTGGTTAGATCATTAGCCTCTGCTGATCTGAGTTGCAATGGGGCTGCATATGTGATCAGTTATTACCCCAGATATTTGAAGGCCTGACCATTCTTTTGAGAGCACAAGCAAATGTGATAGTTATCATTCACGGCATACTTTGAATAGAAGTGTTTTGGGAAACTGTTAGGGTGCTTTCAGATGGGGCGGACCGTTTAACGGATCCGCTTGCTCAGGGGCGGTATCTCTCCGCTGATCCCCACTGAGCAAGCGGATGACAGCTCTGTGTCCCCTCCACTGCTGCAGAGCAGACACAGAGCTGCTCGCTCTCCTCAGTGGCCAGTAGGATGAAAGTGGACCACCTGTCCATTTTCATTCAACCCGATCCAACGGACGGAAGGGGAATTGGATCCCCATCCGTCCCTTTTTGGTGGATCGGATCAGATGTCTGCGGGTGTAAACGGACACATGTCCATTTACAACTGCCACTCCATAGAGGAGAATGGAGGTTTTGATAGGGTCCGCCTGAAAAACGGGCAGGCGGACCCGATCGGAACGTCTGTGTGAAAGAGCACTTAAATCGATGGGGTTTAGTTCCAATTTAAGGATAACAAATCAATCTGATTATTTTATGAAGGAAAAGGATCGATTTTATTTCAGACACTTAGAAAGCAGAAAGAATATCAGGACTTCAGTATCTAAGAGTCACCGCTCCTTTCAGTTTAAGAGGCTCTGTCTCCTAAAGTAATCTTTATTTATCTGCTAAATTCATTAAGTTGATGTACTGTAAACAGGCCATTCAGCCTGGGAGGGATTTCCACCATCTTCCCTGCAGCCAATATAAACATGTTGGGATGTAATAACACTTCCATTGTAAACTAATTCAGCTTAGAGGAGAATCTTCACATGTTCAAGCAGTAGCCAGTATGCTGGGATAATTATTATTGTTTTGCCACTCAAAAATAGATTTATTATATTGCTCTTCAGTCTCTGCACTGTTGTTGCATGTTGATGTTTTGGATTTTAAAGTGGCTGTAAGCCCATTCCTATACCCAGTGAAGTGGTTGGCCTCAGGTGATTCACAGAGATTAAATAAATCCTCCTACATCCGTTGTACCTGTTTATCTTCAGTCTTCTCTACATCCATTCAAAGTCAAGATATTATACAGTTTGTCTGAGCTTTCAGACAGCAGGAGGCGGGAAGCTCAGTGAGAGCTGATTGGAGGAAGGGACACCCCCCCCCCTCAACAGAGCTGAGGATGGCAGGAAAAGTAGGCTTTAACGACCAGCTGCCACACATACAGTGTGGGGCTTATTTACTAAAGCTGGAGAGTCCAAAATCAGACTCCCTTCTGCATAGAAACCAATCAGCTTCTAACCTCAGCTTGTTCAATGAAGCTTTGGCAATGAAACCTGGAAGCTGATTGGTTTCTATGCAGAAGTGAGTCTGATTTTGCACTCTCCAGCTTTAGTAAATAAACCCCCTATGTGTCCATGACAGCCTGAGGTTGTGTTCTGAGAGCCCTTTCACTGTGAGCTCCCAGCACACCAACCAAGATAACACTGACAGCTCTCAGTCACAGGGAGCCAGTGGGATGTACTCCTGACCATGTGACCACTGTGAGAGCCAATGCAAGTGATCACATGATAGAGATGTCACGCTGCTTCCTTTGCATTAAGACCTGCTTAAAACCGATCCAAAAACTTTCAGTAAACACTAATCCCTCTGCTGCTAGTATTACCAATAGATAGGAAGGTACTGTATATCATATTTACTTGCTTTAAACTTTTTTTTTACATCTCTTTAGTTGCTTCCTGGTTTCTGGCCTAGGACAAAATGTCTTACATCCCAGGAGTCATCAGCAGGAGAGGAGGGGCTTTCTTGGCTTAGCACACCCTCCTGCCTGCATGCTAAGGGCCGATGGATTCCAGGAAGAAAATATTACATGAATCATCTGCCCTTACTCAAGATGGCCACAACAAAAAATGCAAGGGGAGTTTTCAGTTTCAGAACACTTTATTAATGTCAACAGGAAAATTATTAAGTGATTTCTCAACAAAATAATGCATGGAGACGAGAATGGATAGGTGAGTTTGCTTGGAATGTTAATACTGAATTAGACAGTGTTTTCAGTTTTTGATGCTCAAATGCAGTTTAGTTCCACTTTAAAGGAGACAGTGTGAAGGGCCTCAAGAGTTTTGTTTAATAAAGCTCTGGGTGCAGTGCAAACCACATCGGAGTTTATATCCTATGCTGGTGTTATGAATATAGGAATATTATTTCATGGAGATACAATGATTGGTTTCTGTGTTTATATATGAACTTTGCAGTGTTTGGTCATAACCTGCTGAGCTGTCGGTGCAGACTGAACTGGAGCCGCATTAGTTGCCGATGTATATATTACCAACATTGCCCATTTAATATACTGTATATGCCACGCATCTTCAATAAAGAATTGATTTGGGTTTTATGACACTGATGATCAAAACATGACAGTAATAGAAAAATTCACAGCGTCCGAGTGGAGTTTTATTTGGGTACAAAATAAAATGTATCAAGATGGTGCAAAGAAGACAATAGCCAAATGAAAAAAACATTTCAGGGAGAAGTCAAAACCCTGTCTGTGTCATTTAAGGAAAGCTGAGAGTCGGTGATATGCCTGCAAGGCTTCTCCATCTGCTTCCGGACTGAGAGCAAGAGCAACTATGTCAAAGCAAACTTCTGAATATAACCTAATTATTCACATCATTCCTGTACTGCTGGTCCCAGGGCAAATTCCAGACAGGGCCCATTTTCTAGGGGGGTTCTTGTAGGGTCACAAATCTTCAATGTTCATAGCCAAGTGTTATAAATTACTCTCCAGTCCTTCAACTGAAACTACTTAGACTTTTGTATAAAAGGGATTTGAAAGCTCATTGGTGTATTGGTGGTTTTGCAGCTCAACCATATCAATAAAATAAGGTGCTCTTATTGTTTTACAGCATCACTATAGTAAGATTGCTTCACATGGACTATGTTTTTAAAAGAGGCTTCCACAATTACCTATTACTATGTGTAGTATACATCAGATTTTAATTAAAGATGGACGCCAGACAAGAGGCCATGCATTCTCTAGAAAAGTTAGTAAATGTATTTTTAAAGCGGTTCCTCAGACATGAAATATGAACAAAGCATATCCCTCTATAGTGTGTGCTTGTCTCAATTCAGAGCACTAAGTGTCATTTCTGTCTACTGCATCCTTTCTCTTTCAGAAGTGATTCATGCTGATAGGATGTTTTACTGACACCAAGAGAAATATGGTGACAGGGGAGGGACCTCCAGCAGATTGACAGCCTCAGCTCTGTTCCTGTATGCTGTTTGGAGTGGGGTGTGTTCCTTCCCTCCAATGAACTCTCCTCACTAAGCTCTGCAGAGAGTAATTTCAGCTTTCTGCCCCCTGTTTTCTGCACTCAGCGAAATGACTGGCCTCAAGTGATACACAGAGATGAAACAAATCCTCCTACATAAGTTGTACCTATTTATCTGCAGTATTCTCTTCTCTAAATCTGTTCAAAGTACAGAATTTATAAAGCTTGTCTTAGTCATTTCACTGAGTATATGGAAAGGTTTACAATCACTTTAAGTACAGCTGATTCTGTCATTATATTAGGTTTTTGTAATTCCCTGCACAGGGTATTAGAGACCGCAGAATGGCCTAATCAGCATCAACTACTTTGCACAATGATATCTAACAGTTAGAGCTCACTGACAGGAGAATACAGCAAAGTAATGTCACCATCAATGTGGCGATGTTGTTTTATTGCATATTTGGCCAGCTAAGGACGGGGCAGTGACCAAACTATATTGCTGATCGTCAGTGGAGCAAAAAGGGTTTACCATGTTGTTTAATGGTATGTATATGGGGATGGAGAAGCACCCAGTGTCCACGGTAATACCACATTCGATGAGAAGATAACAATAGTTTATTAGGAGTAAAGCCAATGTGTTTTGGGGGAGCAGCCTCCCCCTACTTCAGGGCTTATGATACATGTAAACAGAGGACAGTGGAGGGTCAAACAAAGATGCTGTGCAGGCTACCGACATCCTCCATATCAACTGATGACGTCATTGGTTGTTAGGACACCAGCTGCTTAATGGTACCTAATAAAAGCTTATGGCTTTGTATACCTAAAAGTCCGGCTTGATTCACCTGCTGGCTTGTATACAATTTTTGTGCAATTTTTAGACATTTTGCCAAGGCACCCCCAAAGAAGCTTCAAGGCACCCCGGGTGAAAAAGGCTGTGTTATAACATGCTGGTATTTATCTTCGGTGAGAGTAGTTAAATGCTTGCCAACATACCTCTTCCAGGATGCGAGGCATGTTCATGGCTGGTGGTCATGCCCCGAGGTTCGAAGACTATGTGATCAAGGCCTTCAAGAACCCATGGGAAGCACTTCTACATAAACCCATAACCAATATTAGTTGAGCAAATAAAACATTGATAACCAATATCTTTATGGCCACCGAGCAGACTATAGCCCATGCCTAGAAGTCCCCATATTTAAAATTGATGGAAGTAAAAAAATCGCCTGAAAGGGATGCTAATAGATAAAAAAATTAAAATCAATTCTTAATGATTCTGATGATACTTTTTTGAAGGTTTATTAACCCTCGTTATCATATTACCAACTGTCTCAAAGACTGAATGCCCTCCTGGCACTCTAGATCCATTCTGACGCATAAGCTCATAAAGGTGAACTTAGCCGTTAACCAAGTCCTTTATCTTCCACCAGATACTATTGCTACTAGTTTAAAGTACTGGCAGGTCCCCATAACGGTTTGTGGTTCCTGGCCTTCTCTGTTCCAGGGCAGTATTCTGGTTCTTCAACTCTCTTCTGTCCTCTCACCAGATCTCTTGTACAGTTTTCCTTTTTAAAGCACAGCACAAATTTTCTCTGGCATCAGATCAGTGAGGGTATGGCGGCTCAGTTATTAGACACAGCCGACAGCTGCACGCAGAATGTTGTGATCTTGTTCTGATCTTTTAACGTGAGCTGACAGATGTGAACACCGAGCAACACACTCCACT